ACTAAGTTTATTGTCTATAATAATAATCCCTAAAAATTTTGACTCATGAACTCTTTCAGTTTTAACTCCATTTATGCATAACTTTACATTGTTATGGACCCAATTACCAGAGAACGACATCATTTTAGTTTTTCTTTCATCTAACGACAACTTATTGCAATCAAACCATGTTTTGTCTCAGCATGATGCTGCCACCATCATGTTTCATAATGGGAACATTTCCATGGTGATTATATTATTTTCACTCCATCACAGTGATGTGCTTAAAGGTCAAAAAGTCTAATGCTACAGCAGCATCTAGTTATTGGTGGTTTTGTGCTCCCTTCACTTAAAAGCTGTTTAATATAATTAATCACACAAACACAGTCTCTATCTAACAGGTGATTTCTGTGGGAAAGGAGTCGGATTGTATTTTATTTATAGGCGTCAAATTAAGAAAGGATGAATACAACATTATACTCGTCATATTTCTATTTGTAGCAAGAAAAACTTGCATCCATCTCTTTCTTCCATTGCCTGATATCCCAGTCAAGCATATTTGTGTTCTTTCAACGTTAGATTTTTTTTTTTTATAAGTACAAACCACTCTAATGCTTTTGCAGATGAAGTTCAACTAAAAAACAAAACTTTCCTCCAACGTAACCTAAAATATTAGTATTTCAGCCACACGATGCATGAATCCAGTAAGCTATTACCTGATTATAAAATGTACATAACTTGTATTTAAGGGAGGATTACTGTGCATTGTGGTGAGCATTTTTTTATTGTGCAGAAAAGACACTTGCAAACCTGTAAGAGACATGCTAAAGCTAAGCCAAGGTAAGTAAAATCAGGTCAGACTGGAAGTCCAGCTCTGTGGTTGGCTAATATTCCTGCTGCTTCATCTTCCTGCACTTCATCACTGTTATGATTTAACCTGAAGTTCAGACCGCTGCAAGAAAAAGCACAGAGCTCTAACCCACAGAGCAGGCAGCGCACCACCACTCAACCCAGCGCCATCTTTTCGCTGCAGTGCCATATTTGGCAATTGAATGCGAGCACGCTCGTTCTGACCAGATCTACAGTTCATTTTTTAAAAGTTTGAGATTGAAGCAGAGCGAGGTTTTAAAGGCACAGATGCTAGCATGTTCACGCAGTATTTCTAACATTTAGAGGAATTTACATTTGTCTGCTCGGGCTTTATTGTTTTTGTTTTTCTCTCTGATTTCCAGACAGCATACAGGGGGGTCAAAAATCCAGATGCAGTTGAAAGGAAAAGGAAGAAACAAGAAGAAGTCGAGAAGCAGACAATGACCACCTCTGTATCCGGCGGTGGCGGCGGATTAAAGGTAAATTTAGCTTTATTCCTGTTTCTGCTGTTAAATACATCCTATTCTAAGCAAGTGTTGTTTTGTCAATATTTCTGCTGGATATTTGTACATAACAATATATACACTGCAAAAAACATTGAGAAGTAAATAAAACGAAAAATGGCCAAAAATCGCACTTTGACCCAAAATGGCCGACTTCCTGTGGGTTTTAGGGCATACCTCCAAGAGACTTTTTTTCATGATTTGAGGAGATCTACCTGTGAGCCAAATTTCAAATCTCTGTGACTTACAGTTTCCCCAAACTCACGTTTGGGGGCGGCCATTTTGGATTCCATTATAGACCGGCTATTTCACGCGGGGGACAATTTACTGCCACGTTTTCCAGAGTTTTTGAATATGCGAAGTCCCTGTAAAATGCGTTCGAAGTGACAAAAGAAAAAAAAAATATTTAGCCCTAATTTGA